GATTGGCACGGGATAGAGCAGGGTTTAGGGCTGTTGTACATAGGGTCACTATGAGTCGCAAACGACTCGACGTCACATAACAACAACAACAACAACAAAGAAAATGTCAGGAAATAATCCTGATTTAAGGTTTAGTGGTTATCTCAGCACAACAGCGTTGGCGGTTTATTCTGTCTCAACCAAGAAGTCTGGAATCTAAAGGCACTTGAAGTCTTGACGTTCGATTACACATTTCACCCTCCACCCCTTTGATCAGACTTTCTCTATAGACTCTTCATCTAAAATATTTGGTGATGTTAACCCAGTACTATCTAGTTCTGGTCTCATGGCAAAGAAAGTAGTTGTTTATGGAAGCAATGCGCTACGTTTCATTTCCTCTTTCTATTTCTGCCTCTTCCTGTTGCTCCAGATGAATAAAGAGCAATTGTTGAGTATTGGACAGTGGCTTGCAAGCTTTTCAGAATCCAGGCACTACATTGACAAACTAGAAGGTAGAACAGAAGCTGTTGTTTTAGGTGCTTTCAAGTCAAGCTGGACCCATCATAGTGACTGTATGAACAACAGATCTGAACCCTGTCCTCTCCTGTGCCATCCTGACAATCTCTGACACACTCAAGCCCATTGCTGCAGTCACTGTGTCAATCCATCTGGCAGAGGGCCGTCCTCTCTTTCCCTGACCCTCCACCTTTCTAAGCATGGTGTCCCTCTCCAAGAAATAGCCCAAAGTGTGTGAGATGAAGCTTTCTCATCTTTGCCTCCAAGGAACACACTGGCTGTACGTTCTCCAAGACATGTCTGTCTGTTCTTTTGGCTATGAGATATTCAGTACTCTTCTCCAACACCACAACTCAAAGGCGTCAACTCTTCTGTCATCCTTAGTCATTGTCCACCTCTCAGCAGCACAGCAAGTGATTGAGAAGACCATGGCCTGAATCAGGTGCACCTTAGTCCTAAAATGGACATCATTGCTCCTCAATAACTTGGAGAAGTTCCTGACTATAATCTTCCCCAGTGTGATACGTCTCCTTATTTCCTGACTGCTAGTACTAAGGGTGTTGATTGTGGATCCAAGTAAGATGAAGTCATTGACGGTTCTAATCTTTTCTCCATCATCTTGATATTCTCTATCACACTAGTAGTGATGATTTTTGTGTTTTTGACATTGAGACCCAATCCATATTGAAGGTTGTAGTCTTTGATCTTCTGCACCAAGTGCTTCATGTCCTCCTCACTTTCAGAAAGCATAGTTGTATCATGAGCATAACGAAAGTTATTGATTAATCTTCCTCTGATTCTAAGGCCATATTCTTCTTAATAATGTACATTTCTTAAATAATTTGCTCAGCATACAAACTGAAGAGGTATGGATACAAACCTACTGCACACATTTCTTCATTTTAAGCCATGTAGTGCTCCCATGCTCTGTTTGCACAACAGACTCTTGCTCTAGGTACAAGTTTCATGAGCACGATTAAGTGTCCTGGGAAAGAACATATTATCAGGCTAATTAACTGAGACGCTGGACTCTACTTATTGGTTGTGTGGCTTTGGGGAAGGCAGTTCTCTGAGTCTCAGTTTCTTCATCTGGGAATTGGACATGAGGATTCTCACCTTGGAAGGATTTTGTGAGCAACAAGAAAGCATCAGTCTCAAGTCTGGTACATAGGAGATGCTTGACCAGTCTAGTCTACTAGGTCTGGAGGCTGCCCTGGGAGCAATGATGCCTGGTGTGGACTGAGTTCTTTGCTAGAGGAGAAGTAGTTTCCTCCTTCATTCTCCTCGGCCTCTACTCTGCAGCTACATCTCACCACCTTTGCCTGTTCAAGTCCCCACCTAAGTTCCTACCATCATTCAGGAAAGCCAGACACCCACTCCCATCGAGTTGATTCTGACTCACAGTGACCCTCAGTCAGGCTTCCAAAGCATCACTCTTTTTTTGGTGTGAGAAAAATGTGTATTTAGAATTAGCCAGCTGAACTCAGTGCAGATGATCCCAATTTTGTTGGGATCATCTAATTTTAAGCAACATAGTCAGGAGCAAGTCGAACAGAGGCCTTCTCTCTATCAGGCCTAATCAAGGTGTTGACCTTGGCCACATCAATGTCATAGAGCTTCTCTACAGCTTGTTTGATCTGGTGCTTGTTGGCCTTGACATCCACAACGAACACGTGTATTGTTATCATCTATCGTCTCCGTGGTTGACTCAGCGGTCAGGGGAAACTTGATGATGGCATAGTGGTCAAGCTTGTTTCTCCTGGGGGTGCTCTTCCGGGGGTGTTTGGGCTGCCTTCGGAGTCTCAGTGTCTTAGGCCGCCGGAAGGTGGGTGACATGTGGATCTTCTTCCTTTTTTATTTGTGGCTATGGACACTCTTTTGTTGCTGTCTTCTTGGCCTTTGATGCCTTTGCTTTGGCTTCAGTTTTGGGAGGACCAGGGGCTTCCTTCTTCACTTGAGGAGCAATCTTCGTAGAAAGCCAAAGCTTCACTCCTAGTGGTGGAGAATGTCTATTTTTCTCCTAAAGAGTAGTTGGTAGGTTAGAACTTCTGACCTTTCGGTTAGCAGCTCAACTCTAGGCCACCAGAGCTTCTCCAGTGTCCAAGAAGACCCACTTTCGTGGTCTAACAGTTGGCTTCCACTAGGCTTTGCCTTCCATGGCTTGACCCTGTCTGTAGGACTCTGCTCGAGGTCCTCCTGTTCTTGCCTTAATGTTGTCTCCCGAAGACCTCACTCTACTCCCTTGGCAATCCTAGCCTGCCTCCCCCTTCCACAGCCCTGTGACTCCCCTAAGCATGCATTTTATTCCCTGAGCATCTAGACTCTTGATCCCCATGTATGGCAGCAGGATGAGGGACTTGGTCTATGACCCAAGGATATTGGCTTAGTGTACCATGCCAGGAAAGAAGCTCGGGCTATGACGTCAAGATAGGGGACTCAGGAGATGACATTGGATGGCAGCTCAGTCCTTGATAAAGGATAGAGGGTCAGTTTGTGATGTCAGGATGTATAAAACCAGGTATTGCATTGGG